GGTATAGGGAATAACTGATGATGTAAAAAACAAGACATCAATAAAAAAGTAGTTTTTTTAAAAAAAAGTGTATATAGTAGAAATAGTGCTGGGTTTAGATGATGGGAGATCTGAGTTCAAATCCACCCTCTGACACTTAATAACTGAGTGATCCTGGACAAGTCACTTAATCTTTGTGTGCACCAGGCTAAATTCCCTAGTATTTATCTAAGTCCTAGACCAAGTTGTTAAAGGCAGTTTCCACACAACAGACTGGCTACATTTTGGGAGGGGCAGCCAATGGTTACATTAACTTGGGAAGAGCAAGGTGATTGTGCAGTGTTGATATTTATAGTTGGGGTTATTTTGGAGGGGAGGTGTCTCTTTAAGTCTTTTTATGATTCCATCTCTGATATGACTGAAGTAATCCAAGTAAAACATTAAGATCAGAGTGATAAATAGGAGGAGCCTGTTACTTATTCTTGGTTGATCTGAATGGTGTTTTTTCACTTGCTACCCTTTGGGAAAGGCAGAAACTTTATGCTAGATATAATTTTAGGAAGGTTGAGGTAAAATGCAGCTAAGATCATTGATCCTGATACCATTAGCTCTCCTTTTGGGGCATTCGTGTTTAGCAGAAGGCTCAGTATACTGTCTAGGTGGGCAAATTTCTTTTTGTGTATATATATAAAATAAAACTAGTTATTTTCTCAGTTGAATGGACTGATGATTGAAAAGGTTTGATTTCAATCTAACCATTTAAAAATTATACAGGTCAGAAAGGCTTGATTTAATATTATATGAAAAGTTCAGTCTGGGCCCCAACTGTCTTAAAATTGTATTAAGTAATTGGGATTCATAATAATGATACCGTAGCTTGTTTATCAGTTTATGGTTTGTAAAAGCATTTCAAAATCATCATCTCAATTAATCCTCACAACAACCCTGAAGGGTTTATGACACCCCCCCTCACCTTTTCCAAAATGTTTTTCATAATAACATGTACTTATTTTAAAGCGGTAGGTGAATAAAGGGATCAGTTGTACCTCTCCAATTCTATACCTAGTGTCCATTGCTCTATTGTTCAGCCTTTCTTCTCTGTCTCCTGTTATTAATATTTGATTCTCTAAATTATCCTGCAAGTCTGTTGATACTGCTATAGAACTCTTCCTTAATTGCCTTGGCTTCTTCACCCCTGCTTACATCCCTTACTGCCTTTCCCATATGTAACACTGGGTAGCAGTAAGGTGGGAAAAATTTTTTAAAAGCCTTTGTGTTGTTTCCAAATAGTCTTCTCCCGCCCCTGGGTTTCAGGTATGCCCTTGAAGTCTAAGTATTTCTGAAACCACATCCTATTATCAGTAATATGCACTGTTTTAGCAGAGTTTTACCTTTTAGTAAAGGTAAGAGGTCAACTTCCTATAAACTCCATACAGTTTAAGTTTTCTGCCTATTGGACAGGCTGGAACTTCCATCCTCATCTAGAGGAGGATTTGATAAATCTAGAAAATGGTTGCCATGGTGTCTAGCATTTTTGGCACAGTCTTACCTGAAATCGAAATCATTTGTTTCATTATTCTTGTTCATGTGTGTTTTTGATTGCTCCTTTTCATGTGTTGTGTTAACATTTATATGGCATTTGAGGTTTGCACAATGCTTAGCACAGTCCCTGGTTCATAGTAGGCACTTGATAAATACTTATTAAAATTTAATTTTTAAAAATGCATCTCATTTGAGCTTCACAACAGCCCTGTGCTGTAGGTGCTATTATTATCCTTATTTTGCGGAAGAAGAAACTGAGTCTGAGAGATGTTATTTACATGTTACATGTTATTTAGAGTCACATAGCTAATAAGTATCTGAGGCAACATTTGAACTCAGGTCTTCCTGACTCCCAGCCCAGAACTCTATCCACTGTGCCACCTAGCTACTTGATAGCAGATGTAAAATAAAGTCATCACTTCTGCTCAACTTCTTATAGGCATAAGGAGAGGAGTCCTGACCACCCAGGCTTTTGCTTACTTTGTATTTGTACCAAGAAATCCCTTAGCCAGATGCACTTAGCTCTGTATCTTTTTGAGCCTTTTCCGAATATCTATGAAGACCCTTATAAAGCCCCTTTAATAAATTTGAGAGCTTGAAAACTGGTGCAGTGCATTATGTCAGTCTTTTTCTCTAAATGTATGTTGATTAGTTGAAAGCTGACAGAGTTTTCTTGACTTTTGGAGCCAAAATTTGTGGACCCTTGCATAGGCAAAGAAGTAGGCACAGGCCAAAAATCCATTAGTAGGGGCGCAAATTAAAAGAGCAAGGGAGTATGTGAAGCTGTCACATTGAAAGTATGAGGCCATATTGAATGAACCTACTCTTGGATCCAGTGGAAGGGAATGAGCAGGAACAGCATGTTGAGTTTTTAGCCATCTTCTTAATGTCTGCATCCAGGCACAGACACAGAGCAAAGATCCACAGTGTATAGTCTCCTTTTGTCCCCCATACACTTCATTCTTTTCACCTAAAAAGCCTGTGCCTTTTTCCATGATGTGACAAGCCCATGTCACAGGTGCGGAGGCCTGCCAGGATGAGACAACAGTTCAGTCAGCAGACCATTTATTAAGAAGCCACTGTGTGCAGAGCACTGTGCTGAGTGCTAGGGGAATCAGAACATTTGGATAAGAATAGGCCCTTGCCCTCCCAGAACCTATAGTGTGAAGGTGGAGAGGAGGGATGGGACCAAACTTAGATAAATGGAAAACACAGTATTACATTAAAAAGGTATAGAACAGTGTGCTATGTGAGATCTGAGCTTCTGGCAAAGGATCAGGAAAAACTTGGAGGGGGAGGTGATATTTGAATTGAGCTTTAAAGGATGAGTTTAAAAGGATTTTAGCAAGGGAAAAAGAGGAAGAAAGATATTCCAGGCATAAAGCAAAGACAAGAGGAAAACATAGGGCTAATAGGGAGCAGGAGGAAGATGTCAGGACTGAGAATACTTCATTTTGAACTGGAGCCTAGAATGTGGGTAGGCAGGAAGTAACAAGAGTTTTCTATCACCACCTTGAACCTGAGAAGGTAAAATGATTAGAAATGGGCAGGGAGATGTAACGTTTATGAATAAGACAGACAGCAGTTACTTGAGCTGCTAAGATTAAATAACAGGAGCTGTTCATCTTCCTGTTTCAGTGCTGGCACAAACTGATCTTCTGGTTAGGGAAGAAACTTCACTGAATGGTTTATTATAGTATACTATGTTGGATCAAAGGGTAACAGCTGGATAGACCTACTGCATTGGGATCTTTTGTAGGCTTGTACCTAAAGAAAGTTTAAAGAAGCTGAGGTTATTTAACCTGAAGAGCAGGAGTCTGAGGTAGGATCTAACTGGTTTTACGGAGATGGAGGGAGGTATCTATTGCAACTGGGAGAATTTAAATTCAACTTGAAAGAGAAATATCTGACAAGAAGGGGTATGGAAAACTGGAGCAAGTACGTAGAACCTCTTTGTGCAGTGCAGGCCTTGGAGAGAAAAGTGGAAAAGAGGGTAAGATGTGGAGTGAGTGGGGGTGTAATCCTGACACTGCCATTTCCTATCTTTTTGACCTTGGAGAAGTCTCTTAGCCTCTCTGAGACTCAGTTTTCTTATCTATAAAATGAGGACATTGTACCCAGTGTCCCTCAAGTGCTCATGAAGCTCTAAGTCTCCAGACCTGTCTTTAAAACAGTTTACATTTGCACTTCTCTGCAACAGTTGTGTGGTCTGTGAGCTCCAGATTGAAGCTTCTTCTGGGCCTTGTCCTTCCTTTGTGACTTGCCCATGGCCTCCCCTAAGGTCAGCACAGGAAATCCATCCAGCATGTGCAGGGGGACTTCCTCTATTTTCTTTTCATTTGACACTACCAACAGAGCAACTATGCTGTCATTAGATGAACCAATCTCACTAGAGCAAAAACGTATTAGGTTGGACCCCATTAATTTGATATTTAAGAGCATTCAAGGTTCATGATTCTTGGGATGGGACTAGACCTATGATTTTATTGATATAGGGAACTCCCAATGAGATAACTCCTCCTTCCAATGCAGTTGGCACCTTCTCTGCAATTTGTATTCTTAGAAGTTGCTTGGAGAATGAAAGATTAAGTGACTTACCCAGAGTTATACAGTTAATATATGTCAGAAGTAGGACTTGACCTCAGGTTTTCCTGACTCCAAGGTCAGCTCTGTCCACTCTGCCATGATGCCTCTCATATGATTCTTACTGAATAAAAAGTTCAAAATCAGGGCAGCTATGTGGCGCAGTAGATAGAGCATCCTCCCTAAAATCTGGAGGACCTGAGTTCAAATCTGCTCTCAGACCAAACACTTGACACTTACTAGCTGTGTGACCCTGGGCAAGTCACTTAACCCCAATTGCCTAAAAAAAGAAAAAAAAAGTTCACAATCAATGATAAAACATGAGATCTTTATAAAATGTGAACCTATTTTGAATAGTTATTTTCAATGCTTTATTTGCCAATACCCACTATTTTGTTTATAATATATAATGTCTTAAAGGTAATAAAACTGTTTTTGGGTAACTTTCAACTAATTTTAGAGAGACTCTTTTCCTTACCCTTCTAGCCCCCTCTGAACTTTCCCCAGACCTCCCAGGCTAAATTATTGAGATTTGTTTGTGTTTTAGTAGTTCTACAGGGTTTACAAATCCTAGGAGACTCTCAGTTTTAGATGTGGTTCACATATCTCTTCGTTTTTGTCTTTTATTTTTATCGAATGTAATCCTGTAACTTTTATGTGAAGAAAATCCTGAGTGCTATGGAGTTGTTTTTTTTTGTAGTGAGTTTCCCAGGGGAAAAAAAATGCCATCTTTGATAGCATTCATTTATGCATTCTTTGAAAGC